ATCAACGATAGGTACCGTAGTCACATTTAGAATGGTCGATAGAACATTTTCGTCAAAAAAATTATATTATATATATTAAAAATTGTACAAAGTTTATATGTTAAAAGTTATTTTTCATACATATGTATGTTAAATTTTGAACATTCTTAATGAAATCTCTGTCATCACCATTGTCAACTACATATATATACTACTTTATGTTTTTTTATTTCTAGCTAGCTGCTTTTTAATTGATGAGAAAAGTTCATATATCTAAATTTCACCCAAAAAAGAGTATTTCAATAATTTTAATTACTTAGACTAGACGACGTATGATTTTAATTGATGAACGTGACTTTTTAAATGAAGATGAGAATCCTTTTTCTTTTTCTGGGTGCTGGTTTTTCTTTGGGGGGGGGGGGGGTTGTTGATTAAATTTAAGTCACACTGATTATATGGTGGACCTGTTAATTAATGTTTCTTTTTAATGGGCCAATTAAAATATTTGACTCGAATCACAGTATGAGAATCAAAATATCTAATATTCAGCGTGATTCACATATAAAAACTTCATTCAACCTTAAATCTACATATTTAAAAATTATATATATAAAATATTATAAGTAGAAAATTATCTAGATGATAAACATTTCGTACTGCGTATGCAGTTTCAGGAAGGAGTAAAAAAAAAGTTACAATAATTAATGATAAAAAATATATATTAAAAAAATTATGATTAAAAATATATTCTTTAATTGCCCAAAAATATTTGAAAAGTTTTTAAAATTATGATAAAAAAATATTCTTTTAACTATTCAATAGTAAGATAAATAAATTAAAGGGAGGGGTGTAATTTCATTTTTATAAAACAAAAACAATCAATTTTTGAAATGGACCCTCGACAAATAAAAGAAATGTTGCATAGATCTTCTTTACTTGAATTTAATATTATGTAGCTCAAAGTTATTTGGATCTTTCAATATAATCCAAAGAATTATGTTTATAATTTTGATTAATGTTTTAAGAAATTTACAACCAATTGAATTTTCAGCTAGCAGAGTATTTTCAACTGAAATTCTGAAATGAAAGTAACATGTAGTTCTGTTGTAACAATATATTAATTATTAATTTCCTGAAATTGCGTGTGAACCCATGTGCAATATATATATATATATATACACTCCTCCATTTCAATTTATTACCCGGTTCGAATTTTGAGAGTTAAATAATTTAATTTTGATCATAAATTTTGATATAAAATTCTAAAGTTTTTTAAAATATATTTAAAAGATATAAAAAAAATTACGGAAAGAATTAAAGACTTATTTGAATATCTAAATTGAAAAACAACAATACAACTACATATCTAGTGAAATCCCACAAATGAACGCAGACCTTACACCTAGCTTGTAGAAATAGAGATATTATTTTCGAAAGACTCTTAATTCAAGTATAACAAATTTCGATATAAAGACAAAGAAGTTAATGATATCCAAATTCAAAAAGTATCATATAAATTATAGATTGAGATATTGGAGTATATATATTCCAAGGAATTGCGTATCACATGCTTAAGGTTATTTAATTAAACAATCATAACACAAATCCAAAAAAAGTATCCAACATTGACTTGAGACAAACACTATAATATGAAGTACAAATCACTATTCTAATCTTTGCCATTATTTGCTTGAAAGCAATTAATATATATCCTTTCATTTTCTCCTTAAAAAACTAATTAAAAAAAGTGTACTTGTCATTAGGTAGGTCTAAAACCACGTTACAAGCAACAAGATAATTAATCATAATGATTTAGAGCTAACTACTCTTAAGAAAATCATCACAATCGTATCGTAATATACGGTATGTGGAATTTCATGTGAATTAGCAAGGATCAGCTTGCAAGACTTGAATATTAGCAAAGTAATATATATCGTAAAGAACCAGAGACGAGGTAAGAATTTTAATTTTATGGGTTATGAATTTTTATGATGACAATTTCAAGTGTTAATAACAAGATTATAAACTTAATATTTGTACATATTTGATAAACTTTTTAATATAAATACACTATTTAAGCAAAAATTATTGAGTTCAGTCGAACCCGTGCATGAACTTCTAGCTCTGCCAGAACGAATGAAAAGAATCTTGATATATAATATATAATCCTGCATAATCTAAAACGTTATAAGTTTTGATACGTAAATCAAATAATACAATACAAGCAAACTTAATTTGCTAGATATATTCATGGGATAAGGGTCTGAAAAATATCTCAACTTTGGTCGGATTTGCTGTTGCGATACTAAACTTTCATGAGGACCTATTACCTCCCTAGACTAATTAATACCGC